CCACGGTCCCACGCGAGCCGTTGCCCCCTTCCCGTGGCTGCAGGTGCACCCCAACACCTGGAATGGGCTTAGGGGACACAGCTGGACCTGCCTGCCCTCCGCAACACCGATAAAATGTAATTACCCACATGTGTGCCATCATTTTAATGTAAAAATTAAAAATAGCTGTTTCTTTAAAACCCTGGATTATTCTGTTATTTTTCCGTTACATAAATGCTGTTATTTAAAAACAAAACAAGCATAGGACTAGTTAGTGTAAATAGTAGTAATTAATAGTAGAAATCATGAATAAAAATAACAATATTTATATAATGTTTCTGTCTGTCTTCCAATATAGCAAATTGTAAAAAGTAATAAATGGAGCCCTTAAAACGGAGCCCTCAAAACTAAGCAACATAGTGACCCAAAGAACTGTTTGCAGAGATACAAGAAAGCAGGTATGATGACTGCTGGACCGATGGCTACACAACTGAAATTAAAAACGTCGTGTACAGCCCTGGCCGGCTTGGCTCAGCGGTCAGAGTGTCGCCCGAGGACAGAAGGGTCTCGGGTTCGATTCCCAGTCAAGGGCATGTATCTCGGAAGCTGTGAGGGTTCAGTCCCTGGTCCTGGTTGGGGAGCATGCCGGAGGCAATCAAGTCGATGTTTCTCTCCCCCCCCTTCTACTCTCTCCACTCTCTCTAAAAAAAATCAATGGAAAAAGTATCCTCTAGTGAGGATTAAAAACAAACAAAAAATCGTGTAGAATATTGTCACTACGTGGCGTCATCCGCACCAACAGAGGAGCCTTCGTGCTGTTCCTCCCCTTCTCGTGAACGCCTGCTGCCTGTGTCTCCCGGTGGGCCTGCTGCCCCAGTGGCCTCCAGGGCCCAGCACAGGCCTGGCCCACACCATGGGATCAACAGTCCTGTAGAATGAGCGACTCTGTAGGCTTCTGTCCCAAGTGCCAGGCTGTTGCCCAGCCCAGCCCCGCAGGAGAGGCTGCAGGCCCCCAGGGCCTGCTCCGCGTCCTTGGCCACACTCCCTCCTGGCAGAGAGGTCTGCCAGCAGTTATTTCAGATGGTTTGAGCTTTTAGTAGCTCTTCATCAGCCTTTCATGCCACATACAGAAATTTGTTGTAGGACAAGCCAGTGGTATATAAGGAAAACTACATTTTAACCCCAGGCTTGGGACCGGGGGAATGGGCTGTTGGGTCAGGCACAGTCTCTGGCTGCGATCATGACTGTCACGCCCTCTTCATGTGTGTAAAGCACCTTGGTGATTATATCAACTACGGCAGGTAAGTGGCTGTATGTCCCTGGCATAGAGAACTGATGGGTCATTTTGGAATGGCCTCCGGAAACAACTGGTCCTGTAGCCAAGCGATGTTGGTAAATGTTCAATGCCAGCTCTTCTCAAACAAAGATCCTCACCTTTGGCAGACATTGCCCAGAATCCAGGGCAGCTCATGGGTCCTGCTGCCTGGCAGCACCCTTGTGGTTACTCACCCTGGAGGGTGCCCAGGAAAGCCATTAGCCAAAGCCTGTTTGTCTTTTATCTTACAATTAACAGAGTAGCAATGGCCAGCATTTATGAGCACGGCCTCCGTGGGTCTGGCTCGGTGCTGGGCTCTGCACTTGCGGCCTCAAAGGCTCACACAGCTCTTCCATGGGAGGACACCGAGGCTGCAGGGTGAGGGGCCTACTCTGCTTGCAAGTGGGAGTTTAATACTTGAAACCCAGGTCCGTGTGAATGCCACAGCCACTGTGCCAGCTGCCCCTCATAACCAAAGTCTAGAAAACATGAAAGTTTAAAAAATTAAAAAACCCAGAGATTGCTTTAATCCCATCACTCAGGTCAGTTTCATGAACATTCTCACATCTGTTCCATCACTTTGCTATGCACATTTATGTATATTTTTATAAAAGGGGATACTATCTGAGCTATTTATAACCTGCTTTCTCCACCTAACAGCCCCCATGCAGACTCTTCGTGCCTCAGACAGAAACCAAGCCCTTGGTGAAGGAGTCTGCACAATGTCTTCCCTGCTCCCCCCAGGCCTTGCTGAGATTAGTGACGTACAACAAGGTAGGTGGGGAGTGGGAAGGGAGGCATCAGGAGATGAGATTTCCACAAAGTGGGAAGGAGGAAAGTGGAGGAGGTGTGGGGGAGGAGGCAGCCCCAGAATAGGCACTGGAGGTGGGGGGATGGGTGGGGCTGGCCTTGGGGGATTAGCTAAAGTGGGGTGGGGAACAACTGCTCCCTCCCACGCCCAGGCCTCGGCAGCTGGCAGCTGGCTTGGCTCCCTTGTCCAAAGCCAGGCAGCTCTTCTCCAAACAGAGGAGCAAACAGCTTGGGAGCGCTCCTCCAGGGGCTTGGCTTTCCCAGGGAGTCCTTCCTCAGACTGGCACCTGGGAAGGTCTCCAAGGGCCCTCCCCTTCCCTGCCTCGGGAAACAAAGGCAACACCTGCGACAGGAAGCTCCTTACGCTGAGGACTGGGGTCCGTCCCGGAAGCTGAGCTCCCTGGGACGTCCAGTATGTTCTGCCCACACCCCCAGATGGGGAAGGCACAGAGCACTGGGAACTCACATTTCTCTCGTGGGAACGTGAAATGGTGCAGCTGCTTTGGAAAACGGATCAGCATGTCATCCCATACACCAAAAGGTTGAGGGTTCGATTCCTGGTCAGGGCACACACCTAGGCTGTGGGTCTGATCCCCGGTTCTGGTGCATATGAGAGGCAACCAATCAGTTTCTCACATCCATGTTTCTCTCTCCCACTCTCTCTGAAAAGCAATGGAGGCTATAAATAAGGACCTATCAATAATAACCTTAAGGACTTTAAGGGGGAGATCAACAGCAATACCGTCATCGTTGTGGACTTAACACCCCACTGACTTCACTGTGTAGATCTTACAGACAAAACGTCAACACAGAAACAGTGACTAAATGACACACTAGATCAGATGGATTTGATATTTACAGACCATTTCACCCCAAAGCTGCAGAATATACATTCTTCTCAAGTGCATATGGGTCATGCTCAAAGATAGACCACAGGTTAGGACACAAAACCAGTCTCTACAAGTTTAAGAAGATTGAAATCACATCAAACATCTCAGATCACCATGGCATGAAATTAGAAATCAACTACAATAAAAACATTCAAACACGTGGGGGATAAATAGCATGTTATTGAACAGTAAGTGGGTTAAACAATAAGATGAAGAAAGAAATCAGCCCAGCCGGGTGTGGCCCAGTGGTTGAGTGTCAACCTAGGATCCAGGCGATCGGGGTTTGATTCAGGTCAGGGCACATGCCTGGGTTGTGGGCTCGATCCCCAGTTGGGGGTGTGCGGGAGGCAGCCGATCAATGACTCTCTCATCATTGATGTTTCTCTCTCTCTCCCTCTCCTTTCCTCTCTCTGAAATCAATAAAGATATATTAAAAAAAATAAAAATAAAAAAATAAAAACCTTCCTGGAAACAAATGAAAATGACACACAATAACCCAGAATCTATGGGACACAACCAAGGCAGTCCTGAGAGGCAAATTCATAGCACTCCAGGCCTACCTCAAAAAGCAAGAAAAATTTTTAGTAAACTCTCTAACCTACAACTTATAGAATGAGAAGGCTCCCCTGTGAAGCTATCTGGACCAGGGCTTGTGTGCTGGGAGTTTTTTTATTGCTGCTTCGATTTCATCAGTTGTTATTGGCCTTCTCAGGTTTCCTGATTTTTCCTGATTCAGTTTTACATGGTCTCACTCCTGTGTGGAAGCTAATAAATAAAATAGACTGAGGAACAAAATAGATCCAGAGACTGAGAAGCGGGGCACAGCCTGAG